TATATATAAACCCTTTTCATTCCTTGTCTCTCAAGTTAAACAGAGAGCTGAAAGTTTCTGGAGTTCCAGTAGTGCTGGTATTTGTTTTCATGGGGTGAAGTTACCAGCACCACGTCTATACTTCGCTTCTTTCCGGTCTTACTAACAGGCTAGTAAATGACGAGGCGATACTTGCGAGTGCATTTGCCTGGAATCAAATCCGGACCTCCTGCGTCGTTGACGACTGTATTCCAGCACTGATGCAAGCGAACATCCGCTACCTCCCTTAATATATATTTTCACGTGATACTAAAATATCTAGTTACTTTTAAGGCTATCGAAAACATTGATATTTCAGTCATGTGTCTGAATAACTTACTGATGATATTATCACCTGAGGATTACTTATTGATTTGTTTGTTTATTGAGCTTTAACAATTACACAGAAATAACAGCACTCAGATAACAAACTCTAAATTTACAAATCGATTCGCAGTTTTGCATTTTACACAGTTGAAGACATAGTTTCTAATGGAGGCTGAAATTATTATTCGAATCAAAATGTGTGATCCACATGATTCCCTAGATGGAAATCGACAAGTCAAACATGAATGCAAGATGCTACATATTACTGATCAATTGATACGAGTAGCTGGATACCATTCACATCAACCAGTAGTACTTACTAGACAGCCATATCGAAGTGATATAAACACCGGATTCAGTGTATTGCCAGTTCACCAAAAGTGGTTAGTCAGACTTCAGGAGATTTGAACTAATTTGGTTCTTTGAGCTAAAACAAACTGGCAACACCCCTGATGACCTCAACCGGAAACGAGCGAAACGGGCTTTCTGTGTCTAGAACATTTCGATCTGTTTGGCTGCCAAGTACTACTGTTTGACGTTAGCGGTACCAAATTAGTCATGTCAGTCAATCAGAAGTACATAACACCAAGTAACTGCCAAGGCTTAGTAAACTTACGTTTGAAGCACAGTTATATTTCTAATTAATCTGTCAGAGATGGGGACCGTATTTACAAATAAAATTGTAAATACTTCCTGTGTAAAATCTGATTTTGAAGTGATGTTTCGGGGAGATTTGACTAGTTACAGGTTTGATCAAGAGTTAACATCGATTAGAGAACCACTGGAAAGCCAGGAAGTACTGGACAGCTGTTTTTTCCTAGTTTTGGACTCCTCGACAGTGAGCACCCACCCTGGTTCGAACCCAATACCTTCGGGTAGTCCTCTAACTGTTGTCAGCATGTTATCAAACGTGCAACTGATCACATCCCTGCAAACCAACACCTGAGAATAAATCTGATGCTCACTAGCGACCGGCTGTATACAGGAAGTTACTTAGAATTCTGGTGAGAAGTTGTAACCGGTGTGGTTAACCAAGTCAGGTAAGAGGAAACTCATTCGCTGTTGTCATAGGATAGCGGTATCAATATTTGTCACAGATTGGTTAAAGTTGGAATCCCAGTGGCTGAATGTCTTACAAGCTAACCTTGTAACAGGAAAGCCGTCACTGCAAATGCTAGTGTGTACATACTACTGCAGGGTCGCAAACTAAGACTTAAAAGTTGCCCAACACTCCTTAATTTTCTAAAAGTTGTCTAACTGACGATAACCCGTGATTAAAACATGAAATTTCATTATGTAATTTGGTCACTATAACCACCAAATACATCCTCTTGAGAATATGCTACAGTGAGAAGTCAGAGGTCACAGAATCCAAACACAGAACCAGTATACATCTCAAACTGAACCAAACACTCTAGATAAAACGATTAAATAGACCACTTGAGCATAGACTTTTGTAACTATAAAAAGGTGTAAATATTGAAGACTGCAAACCAATGTGTGAAAAGTACACACACAGGCTCATACGCACAAACCACTTTGACCAAAATAAGTCACAAATGTAAAATCCTAAATCGCAAACATTAAACAACCCAACAATACTGAGTAACAAAAGCTTGTCATTACGAACTCGGTGTACTGCCTACCGTCGCATATAACAACCACAGCTTTACATATATTCAAAATAAAATCTGAAACAAGGTATGGGCTTTTAAAAAAAGACAATACTACCGCCGATTGTTGGCAAATTACATATCTATCGTGTTAATTCACATCCATTTCAGTTAAGGGGAATGACAGTTACTAATAGCAACGTGATTACTTTGATCCTGTAGGTAAATCTTTTTTTCTCGCAAAATCACGTAAAAGTTGTTAACATATTTTGTAATTTATAATATCCTTTTTTTCGTATATTTAACCATTTTATTTTGATATGTCTACTACTGTTAATCATTTTCTGATTTAAAACGCAAATTAGATTTTCCAACTTACAGATTACGCAGTTCGAGGAGATGAAACTTCACCACAGTTTCCTTTGAGAATTGTTATTCAGATCATTCTATATGTGTTATATGTTTGATATTGTAAATGGTAGTCAAAAAAGGGAATAGGGATGCACGACGCTATATACTACTGAATAATTGAAATCAGTAGGTAGACACCATCCGCACCAGTCAATATGGCCTGCTAGGTAGAACATTGAAATGATCAAGTCACCAGAAGGCCATCTCGTCCATTTAGGATGAGGCTTATATCAGTGGTCTAGCCGGCATGACTCAGCTTGAGATCTAATATTTCAGTCGCTTGAACTGCAAATTACAAATATGATATAATGTATAACCGGTGCGTTGGTGGCACAGTAGTAGAACGTTCGCCAACCACGTAGGTGATTCGGGATTCGATCCACGGCCGACGAAGCACTCCTTTACCTCTCTAAGCCGGTAATGAGAGTGGTAAAGAGGGAGGGTTGTTCATGAGAATAGCAATCTCATCCAGTAAAAATGAATACCCCTGCTATTGAAACTTCAAGCCACTAGCTTAAGGCTCAATGTTCCACTGGGAAAGTAAAGAAATAAAATAATAAATAATAATGCATAACGAGTTCACTCGAATAGCTAGCCTGAATTTGGAGGGTTGGAACTAAATTGATATTCTAGGCTGAGTAAAAGGTGAGTACACTGCTGACGAACTCGTCCTCAAATGAGCAAAGCCCCCTCCCGATGTTTTGACTTCTCAAGTCTGGATAGCATGTAATATTAGCTGATGTTAACAGGGAGGGGGTGCGGTGTTCCAACTAGTCTTCCACCGCCATTTATTAGATCAAGCAGCTCACAAACATATTGTGATCTAAATAATAATTTCGGTTTCCAAAGGAATCTATGGTGAAATTTTACTCCCTTGACCTAAGTAGTTGGCAAATCGTCAGTTAGATGTACGGAATAGCCAGTCACCTATACAGCTAGCCAAATTAGAAGGTTTGGTTTGATTCAACTCATTGAGCTGAATGAAATTCGACATACCTTTGATAATCTTGGCTCCACAGTGGGCCAGATGGCCGCCTGGTGTTTAAATCACTTCAATTTGGCTGGCTAGCAACCACTACTGGTTCATATGGGCAGTATGCGACTAACTATACGAACCAAACAATCAATCACTTGGATATATCACCATGTATCAGTTGTACAGTTCACCTTTTTTTCCTTCACGTTCCCTAGGGGAACATAGGGCTTCAAGCTAATGGCTCGAAGTTTCTGTAGCATTGTTTATTTTACAGGATGGGGTTGCTAGCCTCATGCCCAACCTTTCCTCTTTACCATCTTTTTATTTCTGGCTTAGAGAGACAAAGGAGTGAGTCTGTGGCCGGGGATCGAACATCGGACCATATGCATGGTTGGCGAGCGTCCTAACCACTATACCACCGATGCTCACCTTTAGTCCACAAAAAGTGTTTTTAACGCTACACTGAAAAGGATTCCTTTGTTTATTGTCAAACGTTTTCTTGTTTAGAAAATAAAGTTGAACTTTTAGAAATAATGAAAATAGGACAACACTTCAAGTTAGCTAACGCCTTGCTAAAAGATGCTTACTAGTAAGACTGCAGAGATTCTTAAATTATTCTTCTGGCACACTTTCTGAACAACTACTAATTACTTTCCTTCATGACAACGAAAACAGTCAATCAACTGAATGATGTTCAAGAAGTTTCAAAAAAGAATAAAAGCAGACATAGACTAAGACAAAAGAATAGCCTAAATTGAACCACTTCAGAAGAGGAATTTAACAAACACCTGTTTCTTTCGACAGGAAAAGTACCATTAACAAATAAACCTGATTCTATCCATAGGTGAGAGTAGAAAGGAGGGAAGAAACGGTAAAAAGACGAAGTAGAAGGCAAAACGACAAGTATAGTAATAAAAAACTCATTTATATATATTTTCTCCATAAAAAAAATTGTAAAATTAAGAAAGTATAATAAAATCACAAAGGTTAATTTTTACTTTTACATAGATTTGTCGTTCGTCGAATTAAAAGCAGTTCTCCCTCCCCACTTTTCGTCTCCTTCAATTAAATTGTAAAACTTTCTTCCCTCGTACAAGTGACATTGGTTTTTCTCAAAATTTGAATTTGAACAACTGATGAGTAAGTGAATCAATCAATATTTATTATTATCATCATTATTGTATTTAATGATGTAAATATTACTAATAAAGAGCGGAAGAATTACTAATGATTACATATATTCTCATGGAAGTGTGTGGGTCTGCATATTTTAATTTTGAATTCATTTTCTTTTTTCTAAACAATCTTTTAATTCTGTACACCTAACTACGTTGTAAAGTGAAGAAATAAATAGATAGCCAAAGAAAATGAATAGAAAGTAAAGAAAATTAATTTTGTACAGTAAAATCAAAGCGGGGCTGGGAAGGTGATATGTCTTGATTATTTATATTAATATGAAAGAATAAAAATAATATTATTATTAGTATTATGAGCTATACATAGTGTGAAATATCGATTTTTTTGAAAGATCGATTAGATATGTTGTATATACATATATATTAAAATAATTAAATATACAAATATTGATTGGTTATTGATTACTTTTGTTGGTGTTAATAAATTATAACTGGAATATTATATATATATATATATATATATATATATATATATATATATGTAAATCTGCAGTTCTTTGTAAAAGCAGATTAAATAAAAGCATCATGCTACCTACTACTGTTCAACCTATCAGCAGTATGTAATATTGTTAGTGTACAGAAAGAATCATAGACGAAGAGAGCAAGAGATAGAGAGAGAGTGAGTTTCTTTTTCGGCCTTCTTTTTTATATATACAACTCTGCTTTAACATCAGGATGATTATGATATTTTTGTTGTAAGGCGTGTTCAGCTGATGTGAAATTATTTCCCAGAGCTTCTTCTGTATCATAGGCGCATTCATAACGTTTATGCCGTAGACGAAAGTAGTAGATCAATACACCGATCAATATTAAGATAAGGACGCCAACAATTACTGAAATATGTATATAAAAATAAATATAATGAATACTAAATAAAAAGCATATTTTGAAATAGTGAAAAACATTATCTCAGCATATTTTACAAGTAATGGATACCTCACTAAAATATTTGAATTAATTGCTTCATGTGAAGCCATCCATGATGTTGGACATTCGGCCACAGAGATCAAGTAACTCAGTGGTAATATCACTGACTGAATCACTGGATGACGATCCCCCAATAGGATATAAGTTCCTTCTATGGTAGCTGATATGCCCCATTGAAGAGTGCTAACAAGTACGAAACTGAAGTCATTTAATGAGGTCGCTTAAAATGACAGTAAATGCTACAGAGTAGACTACTACGGCAGAGTGTAATTCAATCATAAAATAAATTCATTTGATAAATGTCGCATAGTGACACAGCATTATTTATTTGTTGATGACGTTTCAAACACACTCTTATCTCAAGGCGCTCATATAACTTTCCAACTTTGTCTATATAATTCTATTATTTCCTCTCCTTTGATTTTATTGGTAGTAATATATTCCATATTTTTGATACAGACGATGCATCATTTCCATTGCACCTGTTACATGTAGATTTGATGAATAAAGATTTAGTGGTTAGCGTGAATATTCACCTGCCCCCCTCCCACCTCTCTTTTTGATCAGAAATGAGAAAGCTTTGTTTTTATCACGGCTCAGCACGGCTGTCAGTGTTTTAAACCGGATGCGTTTCGAATGTTCCTTTCCAAGAAATCAATTAATAAGTAGGGTAAGTAATAAAAAGAAATGTCGCCTGATTTACAAATTCACATCAATTGAAATAACACCTGAAAACCATAGGAAGTAGTCTTATGCAATTGGAATATGAAATATTTTCTGGTAAAAGATATTACTAAAAGAATAGCTGCTATCTTACAGAATCAGTATTTTTAATGATATATATTAGCAACAACGGAACCTTTAACACACATGCCTAGTCAGTACATTTATATAGTTCAGAGGTTAGACGCGTCACCTAAAGCATATCTATCTGTCTGCCTCATATTTTCATCAACAGCTCCCTTTGCTCGACGCAGAAAATCAGATAGTTGGCCAGAAAGGATAACCAAGCGACAAAGAACTGTGTCATCGAAACTGTCAAGAACCTATAGTCCTACAAATAAGCAGTAGGAAATGGAAACATCATTGAGTGATATTGCGCGCGAGTACCTCAAGTGAAACTTGAATTACAGAACGAGCAGCTGAGCATGATTTCGAGGCTGGTATGGAGGAACTCGTGTGGAAAGGGGATGAAAGCTTTTGGACAATCATACAGCCATCCAAAAACAACTTCAGAGAACAGAGCAAGACGTAGATGCAATTTTTAAACCCCATGTTCCATTTGGAACATAAGAGAATAATAATACTATAATACTTCATATGATGTAAAGTCATTACTGAGGGTATATTTATTTGAATTTCTTATTCTGCACACCAGATGATTTATAAAAAACAAGACAGCTAAAACGATTTAATGTTTAGATGTGTTACCTGCTTAAAACACTGCCGGCCGCACTGAACAGTTTTTACCGGACACTAGTTAATAACTAATCTAATGTATATATATATGTTTTTTGGCGAAGACTGGATTCCATCAATCACGTTTGCGATGTAGCCAACATGCTAGGTGACTCATCGTTGCAGTGCACTCTGAATTGTTGTTAGATGGTTGGAGGCATTCAGTAGGAAGCCTTGTTTAAACCTAAGTTTTGTGCCTTTTTGCAAGCACCAACCAGCGAGGCATATCTGCAATCTTGAAAGAACTCATGTCCTATCTGAGATCAGAACCTGGATCATCTGGTGCGCGAGTCAGAGACGTCATCACTAGGCTATTTAGGCCCGTGGCTGTCCTCCTGTAGAACTTTAATGCATACTCTGATTAGACAATAGGTAGTCCTTGGTTTGGTGCACATTGAATTCTATCAGTCAAATTTGCAGTGTGGCCACTAAGCTTCGTTATTTTTGTATTGTCAAGCATTCCACCGAAGGGGGTTAATCGAGAGCTAGAATAGCTCAGTGGTGACGTTTCTGACTGCTTCAGTGAATGCCCCGGGTCCGGATCCCAGATGGGACATATGTTCCTTCAAGACTGCAGATACTCCTTGCTGGTGAGTGCCAACAAGCACGAAACCTTCCGACTGCCTCCAGACCACTAATAACATATGAATTTAGCTGACATGAAATGACATCAGAAAGATTCAAATTTGCAGATAACTCTAGTGACAGCTAACAGAAAAGAGAATTCTCAAAGTTGCATACAACAAGAATAACTAATTTAAAAAAAATAAAAATCTGAATCTGACACCCGGTTCAACTTAGACAAGTTACCAAAGTAACCAGTATAAACAATAAAAAAATAGGTATTCACATCAAACAGGCCAATGTATTTGAACATTTTTCTTTTTTTGTTATTATAAAACACATAAATATATGCATATTGTTTAAAATGAATAAATAAAATAACCGTAAAGAGGCACGATAAAAGTTTTCACACGAATTCACACGGTTACTTGTCATTCTTAGATTAATTTGCATTTTCCGCTGATTGAAAAATTTAGAACCGAAAATCTCTGTGTGTGTATGTGTATGAACATGTTTCGGCTTCCAATACCGATACTTCGACGATGTCTAAGGATGAATATGAAGTCATCTTTTGGATGATAGTAACTAGCAGCGGAATCAGTAGGATGTACATTTCACCCTACATGGGACTCGTCAATTGGATGTACCCACCTCCCACAACCAGTGAGTGAGCACTAGACACTAGACACTCCACTACGTCACTAGACATTTGCAAAGATAGGGAACACAACCACTCACTGGATATCTAGCGAACGAGTCTCAAGTTGGATGAAATGCAGATGTTGGTTCTCACCACCAGTTACAATCAACTAAAAATTACCTCACATTTATTGATTTAAGTGAAAGACATTCTTTTCAGTAAATGTTTACCAATTTCAAGTGTTGGTTCGCAGGGATTCGACTGGTTACAGAATTTCATCATAAAATGACATTGGCTAGAGAACCATTGTAAAACCTGAAAGTACTGGACAGCTGTCCCGTCCTAGTATGGGACTCCTCATGAATACATGCAAGCCCTACTCAAGTAGGTGGCTACCTGAGTTCTAGTAGGAAGTCGTAACCAGTGAAGTACAGCAGGTTGGGTGTAAGGATGAATACTCGCCGAAGACATTGGCTAGCGGTAGCGCTATGCCGTGAATTGGCAGAAGTTGGAATTCATGGGCCATTGGATCAGGTCCCAGTGGCTTAATGGTTTACGAGCTCACCTTGTAACCAGAAGGTCCTGGGTTCGAATCCTGGTGGATGCGTAGTGCTGAAGAGTCCCAAACTAGGACGAAACAGATGTCCAGTACTCCCAGGTTTTCCAGTGGTTCTCTAACCGATGTCTGCTCATGATGAAACCCCATCATGAACTGAAATCCTCTAACAAATCAAACAAAAAAGTCCCTAAAAAATCAATATTTAAAATTTTTAAGACAAAAGGAAAACGAAATATCAAAGAGTAAAGCGGAAATGGAACATCTAGGGAGGATGGAGGCAGAACAGTATTTAGTTCAAGAATGGTAACAGGAGAGACAATGTCTTAGTGTGTTCTTCGTGAATACACAGTTCTGGATTGGTCAGTCTTAATAACTCAAATTCAGCTATATGTGAAAGGCATGAAGAGATTACGGATTACAACATCTCGAAGCAGATGTGATCTTAAGTTGCTAATCTTATTCTTCGTATACATATACGCAAACCTGGCTATTATTACAATAATAATAACATTTTTTCAACAATTCACTTGAAAATAAATTCAGAAAAGCGCATGATACTCAGTGTGGAACGCTATAAGTGAACAGACATTTTAACATTGAAATGCGCCAATGATTAAATCATCTATGTTAATCAAACTTCAAAATAGAGAGAAGGAAAAAGATTGAAATATGAAGTTACTGCTGAAAATGTCATCAAGGATGATGATGAAACCTCCGTGGTAAACATATCACTCTTCACAAACCACTTATAAAGTTCACCTCCTCAAGTTCACTTAACCAGCGTTTGAAGCTATCAGTAATTTGTGTCTAAAACAGAAAATTTAACGCAGAGATATTTTTATTTCATTTTTTTAAATGTTATAGTAGGAGACATGAGAAGTGAAAACCGACCAGACTAAGGCTTATAACTGACGTAGAACGAATCAAAAGGTATATCAGACAGTATTGGTCCATGTGTCAGAATGATGACCCTCATCATGACGATTCAATAAAACCCGGGAGATTAGAAAGTCATTCCTTAAATAACAAAAGGAATTTCGTATCTGCACTGTTGCAGCAGTGGGCTTTTGGTTTCGAGTTGACATCAGTTAAACAACCTGTGAGAATCCAGGATTTACTGGACGGATGCTTCGTCATGGCTTAAGACTCTTCAGTAGTATGCACCCACCGTGGTTTGAAAGCAAGACGACCTGGTTAAAAGGCGAGACTGTAGATCAATCAGCCACTAGGACCCAATCAAATCACCCATAAATTTCAACTTTTATCACTCTGCGAAATATAGAGATACCATCAGCCATTGTCATAGGTGAACCCTAAACTAACATGAAATTCCTCTCCATTACTCCCTTGTTTCCCAGTGGTTCTCTAAATGGTGTCAGCTGGTGACCAAACATGTAACCAACTAATTCTCTACAACTCAACTTTCAAAAAATGAACCTGGAAGTGTTTTCAGTAACACAGGAGTTTTTTAGTCATATTCTTTACAGAAGGAGCTTTAAAACAAAATAAAATGCTTTTATTCTTTATCATTAGTTAAAGTAGTGCGGTCATTTCGGAAAGAGTTATTTATTTGAAGTCATTAAAAGAATTTTGCGTTAGGTTAGTCCATTGCTTTCGTGTGGTTAAGTTCTTTGAGCCAGACGGCTTAGTTGAGACGTTTACACTGTCTTTCTAGACAAAATCTT